TTAATGTTCTTTAAATTTTGACCCTTCACTGAATAATATTTATATATATCATAAGTTATTTTGTGTTTTAGTTTAGGATTATGTCAAATTGATTTACTTTACTACTATGCTTAATGATGCATGAAAGCTAGATATATATGTGTTCTTTATGTATTACAACATATAGAAACCTTTCAAAGTCAAGCATAGGTCATTTGAATAGCAAATATCCTAACTTCAAAATGTTATTAATTAGAAAATCAATGCATTTTTTGCTTATGCAATAATATAATTTTATTTAGTATAGTTCAATTTTGTTTTCTGCTGGGAATTACTGACTCTTGAGTCCAAGAGTTAGTGTGTAAATTGATATACTTGGTTAAATAAAGATAATTAATTAATTTTTTTCCCTTAAATTTTGTCTTTCCCAATTTCATTTGTCTTGTTTCGAAGGTAAAACCTCTTCAAAAAGTCTAATTGTAGGAGAAAGAATTTAATATGAGTTGTATGAGGTGAATTCAGTGCATTAACTAAAATTAGAAGTGGATTAATATCCCCGCGGTTAATGGTTATATCCAGAGTGCTCTCTATGAAGTAGGGGTGTCAATGGATATTTGAAAACCGACTAAACCGACCGAACCGAACCGATTTTTAGGTTTCTTTTTAAGAAACCGTAGGTTTTTATATAAATCTATAACCACACCGATAATTAGGGTAGGTTTTTTATTTTATAAAAATAAACCGAAAAAATACCGAACCGTGCCGAATATATTTTACGTGTAGAAAATATATTTATTTAGTAAGTTTAAAAGTAATAATGTATTAAATTTTCTTTAGGCCTTGAAATTATGAAAACTATTACAAGCCAACAAGTAATTAAACTCAAAATATTAATTCCTAAAACCTATTATGCTACTTCTACTTAAACTAAGTTATTTCAAGTATCTTTATTAGCAAGACACAAAGTATTCTAGCGATTATGAGTAGCAAACTACAATGTACTAAATATGTTTCCTTTCATATAATTTGGATTTATCTTTTTGAATATTTAATCTTCTATATACTTTATTCTTGAGTCTCAGCTTGGTATATCTTTCAACTCGTCTGATTTATATTTTCTTTGCCTTTGTTTGATTTCTTTTACGCTGTTGTAGAAGAGTTGATGGATCTTCTCTCTAGCCATCTCTTCCTTTTTTTTTAATTCATCACCCTTTAAATAGTAAAAATGTCTAGAGAGTTTTGCTAAGTCCTATAAAAGAACTTATGTTATTGCATTCTACTTCTACTGATGAATTTTACATGATATAAAAAAATACCGAAAATTAACCGAACCTTACCGATACCAAAGAGAAACCGACATGATTGAGATGGTTTCGAAAAGTCTAATTTTGGTTATATATAATAGAATAACCAAAAAAAATGTATTGTACAAATTTTATAAAATAACCGGTCGAACCGAACCATTGACACCCCTACTATGAAGTACTCGAAACTTTAAAAAAGCTTTATTGCAGATAATTAACGCTTTACATAAAAGAGCACAAAAGGAATTAGAAACGAATAGTCCTAATTTTACATGGAGTTTGTTGATAAAATAGATGAGTGTTGGAAGAAGAGATCAAAATGAGTTGCGTTGGTAGGATAGATTAGTTGAAAGAAGAATAATAATAATACTCCCTTATTTCACTTTTAGTTGTCCACTATTGACTTTGCACACCCCTTAAGAAATACTACAAATAAAGTGCATAATTTACCATTATACCCATATTAATTGGTGTATAGTCTTATTGGATTTAAAAAAATAATTTGGAATGAATAATTAATGCTAAAGGACAAAACAAGAAAAATAAATTATTTTTCTCTTAATATGACAAGCAAAAATAAAAATTTATTTTTAGAATACTTGACAACTAAATGAACGGATGGAGTAATAAATAAGGATAAAACATGCTAAACTTATTGGTATCCGTTTTGGGTTTAATAGAGTCAAGCACAAGGCTGTTACAGTATGTAATTTCTATGTTTTTTTTTTCTATTCTTTTTCGAATACCAGCATCAACCAATTACTTTGATAGCTTTTAAAAGGTTTCCTTACCCATATGTAAACGACACTTATAAAAATGATATTAAAAAGTTCCTATAGATATTATTATTTCTATATTTCTAAAATTATATAGGCTTGTAATATTCAAGTTTATTTTTTTCTCAAAGTATAACGGTCATAAAAGGTCTGAAATAGGAATTGTTCATCATTTTCAATAAATGAAAAATATATTTTTCCTTTTAATTTTTATTTTGCAACTAAAAACATTTTAAAGTAATTTTTTTGTAATATGCAAAAAAAAAAATTATTTATATGGAATCACGCGCAATGTGCGTGCCCAAAAACTAGTAATTATAATACAATTAGATATATATTTCATTTTCAGAACATGCTCTCTCAATTCGCACAACATCTAAATTTTAAACCTGTCACACTCCCTAAGACATTTAGTTAATTTGAAAGGGCCCCCATATTCTGTCTAATGTTAATATTGTTTCAACATGAGGATGGCTGTTGAAATGTGACACTCAATTCTCAAGGAATACTTGCTTCAAGATTCAGAAAGGCCAAGAGTAATATAAAAGAGAGCCAATATAAGAAAGAGAGAAATAAAATGACAATGAAGTATGAACCCCTTCTCTTCCTCTTTTTGCTACCAACAACCAATTGGTAAGAAGCAACCCCATATTTCTCACTCATAATTCCAAATTGCTACCACCTGACATATTTCATTCTTTTTGAAGAAAACTCTGTTAGCTTTGGGCAGTATATCATCTTATTAATTCTACCTATCTTTAAAGTTGTGAACCAGTTTTATGACTATACATGTATGTGATGATCATCTAAACCAAATGTATAAGAAAATTGAGCACGCCACTGAGCTCTTGTCTTATGCCGGTGAAGTTTTTCAGTTTCATACACTGAATTTTTATTCATTCTTTTTGCTTGTTTTGTTTTTCTCAAACAAATATTTGTGTTATGCAGCTGCCTTGGTTCCCAATGGATATATCACCAGTAAATGAGATGTGGAATGTCTTGTACACTATATGGCTTGTTGTAAGTTTCAATTACCAACTCCTTTTTGGTTAATTTTCCAATTGAATGTAGTGTCTCGGACATTATATGGTCCTAGAGCAAACTAATTAAGTATTGTTTTCTCTATGGAAGATGACATAGGAATTTTATATAACATGCAGTTGATTACTTGACTCGGGTTCTTCTTATTGATAACTCTTGCTCACTATTGATACCAAAAAAATTGAAGCAGTTACTAATTCATGATCTGGCATGTATAAAATGAAAACTTCATTCTCGGTTCTACGAGAACGTTTATAAAAGCCTTTCATTTGCTTCTCTTCTATGAAATTTGATTTTCCCATAATGTATCCTAATTAAACTTGATATTTGCAGAATCTTTGAATCTATGCTTATTTTCAACTCCCTGAAGCATATCTTACGTCCTTTCTCATCTTTGGTCCTGGTTTTAATGTTCTGTTTTGTAAATCATTCTCTTTACGCTTCACCAGAAATTGAAACTTTTCCAAAACCAGTAACTCCAGGAAAAAATCATGTCAAAGTCATAAGATTTTTGTGTTGAAAGACATTTGTTTGTGAGCAACTAATACTTTGATCCTTTTGCAGTGACATGAAATGTAACATGCACCATATTCCCAGCCTCTAGCCCAAAAACTCCGAACTATGCGCCTGTCTCTCTCAAGTATTCTATAATGAAACATCACCCCTTGTCCATCCTGTGCTTGCAGTTTGTGAGAAGAAAAACAAATGCATCAAAGGTAGTCTCTATTTGTCATGGCATTGAAAGAGCACAAAGATAGATCGTATTTCTATCCTCTTACCACACACGAACACAAAGATAAAATCATACATGCATCTCAGTTTTTTTTTTTTTTTTTTTTTTTTTGATAAAGTAAATTAGATTCATTAAAGAGCATCAAGAAGATGCAAAGAGTACAAAAGAGATAGGATACGTAGCTCCATTACAAAAGCCTATGCTACTATCGTGGAGCTAATAAAATCCACAAAACTATCAGCACTGTTAACAAAGGTGAGATAGTTCCAACTAAACAGATTAACTAAACATGCAGCCTTGAGAGAGTAGAGTGGAGTTGAAATGCCATCAAAACACCTTCGGTTCCTTTCTTTCCAAATACACCAAAAAATTACTGCTGGCACCATTTTCCTGATTTATTTGATGGATTTGTCAACTCTCCAAAAATACCAACTTTCAAAAGCTTGCTTTATTGATTGTGGCATAATCCATCTGAGACCAAAAGTAGTGTAGAAGAAGTTCCAGATTTCTTTTGCAACTGAGCAGTGGAGGAATGGGTGGTTTACATTTTCTGACCGTTGTTGGTACATGTAGCATCTGTTAACTAGTGTAATGTTACTCTTGATTAAGTTATCTTGAGTGAGATAGGCCCCATTTAGAGACAACCATGTGAAGCAAGTCACGTTGGTAGGCACTTTAGTTCTCCAGATGTGTTTCCATGGCCAGTTATCTATATTGCATTCTGATCACAGAAGTGAATGTAGCCTTCTTTGACTGTGTACTTGCCTCTTAGAGTTTCCCCAAAAAAAATTGTCAGGCTGTTGATCATCGGTGTTATGACCTTCTAGGGAGCTTAACATTGTGAGTAGTCTGTTGACCTCTCAATCCTGCAAATTTCTTCTGAAATGTGGGCACCAAGTGCCATTTTCTCTATTTTGAGAGACAGTGGAGTCTATGCTTAGAGCAATCTGATACATACTGGGAAACATGTCTTCAAAAGGTGCATCTTAGCTAATGTCCTAATACATGAACTAGGTAAATCGGATGAATCTGGTTTACTTTTTCCAACATTGACAATATGGACATGAGCAAGTAGTAAACCTCATTCATGTCACTGTTGAGCTAGCAAAATGCTAGAAATTGCTCTAAAGAAGCAAACATTTCATAGAATAGAACAAGGTGCAAGGTAAGGACAGGAATTATCGAATGTACTATAAACGCTAGAAAAACACATAATCTTTTTTACAATGTAGAAAGTGGTTACATGGTGATGGTACAGAAAAATAGAGCACTAAAGAATATCAAATAATTTAACTCTATCTGTTTGTAAATGGTCTTTATTCTCATACAAATCTGAGATCACTATGAATTTGAGAAATCTACATAACAAAAATGAATACACCACAGTAGAAACACATTGGATACAACTCCTGAAGGAAAATTATGGCAGCCATTCCACCAGCCCTTACGAGTATGCAGATGAAACTAATATTTGCCTCGAACAAGTATTACCCGAATCCATAAGAATGGTCGGCGTCACTGCTCAGGCAATACTCCAATCAGTTCTATCAGCAGTGGGAGTGAATCAATCCAAAGATAACTTACTGAGACAGACACTTGGCATTTATCCAAACGAGAGGCTTCTAAATAAATGCAAAGAAGAAGGCTGTAGAGAGCATCAGCGTCACCACTAACTTTAGTGAAGAAACCTTCCATAGGGTACCAGCATTTGGCATATATGGATATGAATCAGGAGGCGGCATGACACAGTTATCACCATTGAAATAAACTCTGCGGGGGAAAGCCCACCCCTTGTCAAAAGTAAAAGTCGATAAATCCTTGCGGAATAGAAGCTCTGACTGGACATTTCCTAAAGGACCCGCTTGCATGAGCAGATCGTTGTAGAATTTCATACCCCATAACATGGCAGTGTCATCTGTAAAAAAAAAGGCCCAGGAGATTAGCCATATCCTCCAATCTCTCAATTGATAGGGCAATCTAGGTAAATATCTTCAATAGCATAGTATTGCCAACCAAAAACATGACACAAGATTCTGAAATGAAATTCTTCTTTAAAAGTAGGGAAAAGATACTTTTGGAAATCCATCTAATGTCTTTAACACTAAAGTATTAGCAGCTAGCTCTTTGGATCACGAATGAAACAGTAGCAACTGGTTATGAGAGCTTGTATAGTTGTATAACAATAGAAAGAGAACTTACTTATTGCTCCATAAGGTGTTAGTGACTTGTAATTGAAGCTGAATAACTGAGTCAGGTTGTCAAAGTTGGGATGCTGGACAACTAAGTTCCATTGTGTATAATTCATATTGTAATTGAAGTTAGTTATAGTGACCTTCACTCGCCAATACTCCTTGTAGTTGAGTTTCACATGCCAATGAATTCTAATAGGGCACATATGATTTGTGCACTGAACCAAAGGAGCATAAGTATTCTTCTTTCCATGGTCTGAAACAACTGAAGCTAAGTGCGGTTCGTCTTGACTGCGAGGAGCAAATGAAAAAGGAGCAGGAAGTAAATAACCAAAGCTTTTAGAAGTGATAAAAAAATGGAGGAAAAAATAAAGCATGTTTTTGCAGGACTTACTCTACACAATTTCCATGCTGAGTGCCATTCTTCTGGCAGCCACAAGTGCATGTTGGACACGGTACAATTGTGTCATTGTAGAAGGATGAGATAGAGACGCAGCATGTGGGAGTTTTTTGAGCTAGGAACTGTGAGTATGTGCACGTGACATTCCAAGTCACTGTCATTAACAATATAAATAGTTAGAAATTAATCTTCAATGGCAATTATAAGGAGAAATAACAGACTTAAAAGAGGAATTCCAGAATTCTCATTTTTTTCATGGACAAAGGAGATATCTCAACAATTAACTTACTCATGGCTTGTGTTACTCGTCTCCCATCTTGAGTAACGAACTTAGTGGGTTTAACAATTTTAGCGGGTCCACAAGTATAACCAGGCCCAGGTGCCTTTAAGGTGAAGTTCTTAGGAACTCTAACTGTTTTATTGGTTGTTCCGGCAGCACCAACACTGACTTGGAATGAGCTAACAGCAGTTGCAGTATCTTGGCCCCATGAGTTGATCACTCCTCCCTTGCAGCAATTTGCAATCTGCTGGTTGTAAGGAGTTCCGGGCAGTAAGTCAACAACGGTTGGATCCTTCTTGCAACAATGGGGAATGTTTCCTTTAAATTTCGAACAATCTCCTTGCTCTGTTGTTTGAGCTCCCATCATGTTCCATATTACTTCCTTCTTCGCCCATGTCCATCCCAGAGTCCAGCCTGGTGCTTGAATATGTCTATATTGCTGGAAGTTGAACATAGTCACAACAGCCTGTCCGTTGCCAATGATAATGATCAGAAACTTCCAATTTGTTCAATACTACTCCAACAAGAAGAAGTAGAGGTAAATGCAGACTAAAGCATATATAGAACATGACACTGAAACCTAAAGACTAAAGAATAAAACAGTTTGCTAAAGAACTTA